CAGCCACTGTCATTCCAGTGTACTAAAATAAAGGCGACAAGAACAACCCGTCTAATTACCGACCAATCTCCCTTCTGTCCTGCGTCTCCAAACTGCTAGAGAGAATAGTGTACGACCGCTTGTACGACCATATCTCCCCTGTTCTTCACCCCGCACAATCTGGCTTCCGCCGTAAGGACAACACATCCCTGCAATTGTCCCGCATAATCCAAGACCTCTGCTCCCTAAAAGACCAGCGGCAGGTTTCCTGCATCTGTTTCTTCGACCTCTCCAAGGCCTTCGACACCGTGTGGCACAAGGGCCTGATCGCCAAACTTCGTGCCCATGGTGTCTCCGGCTCCCTACTCGCCTGGATAACTAGCTACCTCTTGGACCGAAATCAATGCGTCACAGTAAATGGAACCTTATCTGACCCCGAGTCTGTGACATCCGGAGTGCCCCAGGGCTCCATTTTAGGTCCCCTGCTCTTCCTCACATACGTTAATGACCTCCCCTATTCAATTCCCAATATTTCTTTGTTTGCAGATGATACCACTGTCCTTGCTTCCTCCCCATCTCACGCCACCCTGTACCCCAAAGTTCAGACCTGTATCAACGACATTGTTCACTGGATGAGCACTTGGTACCTTAAGCCAAATGTGACCAAAACCGAGCTCCTCCTTTTTCCCCCTCCCACAGATCCAGTGCCCATCTTCCACTTTCCCGATGATCCCGGTCACCCTATCTCTGTAGCGCCCCACCATAAACACCTTGGCATTGTCATAGATTCCGCCCTCTCCTGGTCTCACCATGCTGATCATGTGTCGTCCAAAGTATGCCGATCTGTCGGCATAATGTCAAGTCACTTGTCCCATTTGCCCCAAAATTGCCGGATTAATTTTTATAAATCATACATTCTTCCCCTCTTCACGTACGGCTTCCCTGCCTGGTCCACCATTAACAAAACCCACATAGGTAAATTAGAAGTTCTCCATCGCCGTATACTGCGCATCATATTTCGTACTGATCGTTATATCACAAATCTAGACTTGTATGCTGCTGCATCCACTACCACTCTGCAACATAACCTTGATGCTTCCAAGTGCACCCTGGCACATTCAATTTTTCTTGACAAGCACCCTGCTCATTTACAGTCCCTTAATTGGTTCGATTCAGGTGGCACCACCCGAAGCTGCGTTCGTCTCCCCCTAGCTAGGTCTACCCTATTCGTAAATTCCCCTTTCTTTTCCTCCTACTCCACGTGGCTCCAACTGCCTCCCAGTGTTAGACAAGCTCCAGATATGCCCAAATTCCGTACCCTCGTCAGACAGCACTTCAGTATCTCCCAGTAAACAAAGTCACAGTCACCACTTCCGCTGCATAGCTCGCTGAGCATCCCATTGCTTTTTAAGTTGCTAATCCCTTCCCACTTTGTGTACGTGCTCTTCATTTTCTTTTTTTCTCTTCTTCCGTGGTTGGTCTCACCCTCTCCTCAATTCAATTGGCTGTCTTGACATGCCACGAGGTGCAGAAATAAATAAATAAATAAATAAAATAAAATAATTATACATGTATATTATTATGTACAGTGTAGTTTGTGGAAATGAAGAAAGTTGCGATTTCTTCCAAAACAACAAAAAGTTCCGAAAAAAGTGGCGAGCATCTTTGGGAAAGAGCTACATGTACATGTACTCCGAACCCTTTACCATGCAGACCACCAGCTGATCAGGTGCATTGTACACAATTGTGGAGCCTACATACTAGAATTGTGGTACAATCATGTAGTTATGCTCCTACATCCGAAAGGATGCTAAATTATGCTCCAAATTTTCAACCACCAAATTATGCCAATAATTATGCCGGCATAATCCGCCGGTGCCTAGGGGGGGGTCAACAAGTTGGTGAAGCTTGTACCCGGTGTACAGAATCATCAGTCCTTTCCACCAGAACCAGTCCTGCAGAGTCCCTAGACGGCGCACCATTGCAGGTTGTGTCCGCCATAAAACATCTGGGCGTCCTGTTTGACTCAAGTCAAGGCTATCATTTCAGAATCATTTCGAATCTGTGCTCTCGAAGTTCCGACAACGGTTGAATCTGCTATGTTATAATGTCAAATCGTCTAACAACAAAAGCGCTCATGATCTTATACAAAGGCTACGTGAGACCGGTGGTGGAATATGCTGCAGCAGTATGGTCGTGTCATCTCACAGCAAAGCACACAGAAACCTTGGAGAAAATCCAAGCGCTTTTTGTACGGTCATACCTCAAGAAGAAGAATAAACTACCAAGTCCGACTTGAACTACCAAGTCCGACTTGAACAAGCTAGCGGTGCTCGAGTCTCTCAAGTATCGGTGGCAATTCATGTGTTTGGTTACGCTGCATAGGTTTATCTTCCACCACCCTAGATACATCTCGCAATTTAGTTTCAGCGTTTCTAAAAGTGCTTGGCGGTCTAACAAAATCATTTTAGTATGATTTTACCTAAATACAAGTCGTTATCAAAGTCAATGGTCCTATTTAGAACTTCTGTACTTTGGAACTGTCTACCACCGAAGATGACCGCTACCGCTGCAGACTCCATGCAGGAATTTAAGAAGAGTTTACGTCTATATACACACGAGTATGCCCATAGAACCACTGGCATTCCTACACCTCAGCAGTAATTGCACATCACACTTTCCTTTGAAGTTTAACTTTTATTGTCCCATTCCATGTGTCTGGCTATTTATTCTACCCCCCTGTTATGCTACCTATTCAATATCGCACAAGTGGAGAACCCCTCAATAGGCTACCTGCCTCTGGGTCATCCCTCAAACTATTATTATACGCACGTCCGCGTTTACGTCAACAGTAAGTCCACGTATTCGCCTGTGCCAGAAGACAGGCAGAGTGGGCAGAGAGGAAAAAAATGTAAGACAGCAGGCGATAGGTGCTCAATGCACGGGATCTATTCGAAAGATCAAAAAATAGAAACAGACAACGGCGATAGGTTTGTAACTCATGGTCGATGGGAAGTGCTAAATGCACGGGATCTGTACAATGCCTCTGTCCCATCTGTTTAGTTACTGCGTACATCTTGGCACAGCTCGCGCCACGCAGGCCTGTCAGCGGCGATGGCCCGCAAGTGCTCCAGGTCTGCCAAGTTCCTCAGACTCCTCAGTCGAGTCCTGCTGATTCTAGGTCCGCGGATAGTGCGGACACGATGGTTGTCCGTGGCCGCCCTCGCCATACCTTGTCCCCACAGCTACAGGTGAAGTAACTCCGCATAGCGAGGGCGGCAGACGTGTCTTGAGGGAGTCTGAGGATATGCCCAAACAGGCCCCATCTGGATCGCCGCATGAGGGCACTGATCACTGCTGATGGGCTCTGCGTGGTATCTGCCGTACAGGGCTTTGTTTGGAATCACCTGCGGCCAGCGGATACCCAGGAGATTCCATCCCTCAAATAAAGATAATAATAATAATATTATTAACTGGTTTGAGGGAAAGAGACAAACGGCAAAAGTCTGAAGAAAAAAATTGACTGTCACCACCAGGACTCGAACCAGGGACCTTGGCTTGTAGCCAGCGACGCTCCAACCACTGAGCTATGGTGTAGTCGTCATCCCAGCAGAGGCCGTTCAACATTTTCCTCAGACTTATAATAATAATAATAATAATAAGGCCAAACTAAAGAAGGTGTGTGGTTCGACTAACATGGACATTTTTTTTACGGGCGGGCGGGCGGATTTTTTTTTTTTTAAATATATTTTTTAGTACATGTAAATACACTGTACTGCCTTTAGACACCCAGTACATCGGCATTATTACGCAGTGTTATGCCATACATGTTGTATAAAGGGATCACTGGCTAATACTTTGAAACATTGTGTAGCTCTGGAACGAGAAGAGAATAACTTCAAGCGGTGACTCTGACTGTCCAAATCATCAAGCAAATGAAGAACGATGCGAGTTGAAAGTAAGTTCGGGAACTACTTCGAAGTACAAATTGTACAATGTACCGGTACATGTATTGCTAGTTTGGTGTCGGCGTGCACGAATACATGGGCTTTTTCCATCGACGCTTCCTGTGCTTGCACACATGGAGCAGCAACTAACTTACCGGTACAGGTGAAATATCGTTCCCAATACACGAGGAAAGTGCAATCTCGTCTGTCCTTCATCCCAAAACAGAAGAAGGCCGTCCTTAATCTGGAACGAGGCAATCACTCTCAACCGGACGGTCACTTCAAAATAAGTCTCGCCAGTCTGCCGGTGGTCGTATCGAGTAGACTCTACTACCACTGCAGACTGTACCAGCACAAGGCAGCAGTCGTACCACTCACTGCACTGCACTGCAGTACAACTACAAGTCAAGTCCAAAAGGAGCCGCCTGCGTCCGCAGACTCACGCTGCACAGCACGTAGACGTGGACGTGTTCAGTCCACGTACGTCAGTCACACGACAGCCCGCCGAAAAAAAGTTACGGTCGGGGTGAAAAATGTACGGTCGGTCGGGTGAGTCGAACCACACACCTTCTTTAGTTTGGCCTGTAATTTTTCACTGGCTCTTTGAGGCTCTCCGTTATATGCGATAACGTCAAATCCGCCATATATAGGAGCCAGTTGCCCAAAGCGGGTACAGAAACCCCTTATATAGAAGAATTTGGGGTGGCAAACGTACTACTAGTAGATGACGTGTATCGCATAACCAGAAGGCTCTAAATGATGAGTAAATCTAATCACACGAGTATGGTCACTGTCAGCGCGCGGACATGCGGCTCGAGCGACAGCGCGGTATGCAAAGTCATATGCGATGATGTCATTCGCCCCTATATATAGCTTATTTCGATAGTGTTCCACACCCGCATGCGCGCAGCTCGTGACACCGGCTGCATGCATGCGCGCACGCGCACGAGGCACGTGACATGATTATTTATTTGGCCCTTGTGGCTTGATACGATGCCATAAAAGTCACCTGGAATGAGCGCTTTCCGTAATCATGCCATTTCATGGTTATCGAGTGTAGATTTTTGGTGGCCTGGTTCCTCCTGAGCTTTGAGCTCGCCTTCTTTTGTCCAGTTTAGTGTTTTGCGCGAGGTTAGTCAAGGTAGTAAGTCAGTCCTTGGCTTGGGCAGATCTCGCTTGGCCAACAGGTCAACCCCTACAACGGACCCCGTCGCCGTCAGCGCTGGAAGCTGACGTTTCACGGAGACTCCGCGAAAAAGCTAGTGGAGCGTCATCGACGAAAAGACCGTATCGTCGAATCGCCGGAATGGTGAGTGTATTGTTCGAAGCCATGGTTGCTTCTGAAGCTGGGAAAACAACTGTTTTGCCCTGAATCTTATGCCCTGCATGACCATCGCCTCTTCAAGTTGCACGCGACGGTTGCGGAATCTATCGATTCGTTTGCCACTTACCGTCGACAGCAGAATCGCCAGCTAAGCACGAGCTTCAACTAACGAATCTTGTACAAAATATCCTGTCCCCATCCAGCCGTTTCGTTTCGTTTGCGTTGCGCTGTTTCGCAAGCATTGCGGAGAGGTGATTGACAGGGAGCATCAACTAATATTAAAACTAAATTTCTGGAGAGGCTCTGCTATCATACTTTTAGGAAAAGCGTCAAAAAAGGCTCTCCCCGCAAATAACGATAACAATGATAATTTTACAAGTCTAATCTCCATAAGGCCACCCTTTGTTAATTCATTGTTTAACGTCCTTTTTTTCGCGAAAAGGTACGCGGGAGGGCGGAAAAAAAACAAAAGCCCATTCCAAAAACTGGAAATACATAATCCTACACAGTTGCGAGGGCATGATGCTCTGATCAGGCCCGAGGTCTGTGAGTGATCTTGCCCGAGGTCGCGACGCCCAAGGGGCGTAGCCCCGAGGGCGTCGCGACCGAGGGCAAGATCACTCACATGACCGAGGGCCTGATCAGAGCGGCATGCCCGACGCAACTGTGTAGGATTGCGCTTCAGACAAGGCAACCACCTCACAAACAACAAGGCCCAGTACAGTAGAGAGATTCAAACAGAAAGAAAGCCTTGACGGCAAATGAGTTGATGTCACATTGTGTGCAGTGACCATAACAAACAGCTATTTGTTTGGTCGGAACTTTCCAGTTTTGAGATGAAAGTATTCAAGTACAGTGAAGGCAGTAGTAACGTTAGTACCAGTAATATGACGGATTCGGAATAAACCCGTTCTTCGAGTTGATGATTGCCAGAGTAAGGTTCAAATGCGAGTGCTGAGAAGCTGCAGCCTTAGGGCAGGTACAAAATGTACTTGTGGAGGTCTGCTTCCCTTGTGTACGTTTCGCCGCGAGAAACAGGACCAGCTGCAAGGTCGGTTGGCGTTTCTGGTCTCCCTGCAGACGTTCAAGACAGTAGTGAGTATATAATCATTTTGGAGAAGGGAGACAAATTTTTAGTCCTCGTCGTCGGAGATGTTGCCCAAGGCAAGGACTTCGAAAAATGGTAAATGCGCATGTGCGGCGCGATGCTGTACGACTGCTGTTCTTGACCGGCTAAGCGGTCAAGATCGACTGATCTTGACTGCTTATTCTGGCCGCTCATTGGCCGTCTCCTGGCAACAAGCACGTGCCATGTCTGAAACCCCAATCAAACATTTTGACCAGTAAAGCATGTGATATAATTATACAATATTTCTGGGTCTACCGGCACTTGGCCACTTGCAGGCATAGAACAACACTCTTTGATGGTACATTCGAGCACATGCCTGATGAATCCAACAAAACAGGTACATAGCATGGAGTTAGCATGTCACGAATTCATTACATATGTACATCTGGATTTTACTAGGACACACACCGTACGATATTTAAAAGCCAACAAAAAAAGAAAAAGAACACAAGACAAAGGCATGCACGGGAGGCAAGATTATAAGTTTTTAAAAAGGTCATGATCGGCACACTGTGAAACTACACAATCATGTATTTACAACTTCGCATATTATTGGCACTACTACTTTCTTGTTTTTTTTCCAGTCTGAGGCAAAAAGGTACGCGGGCGCGGACGTTAAACAACGAAAAAGGAAAGGGTGGCCTAATAACGTAATCTCCGGGACCACGCAAAAATATGTTATATCGAGAGTTATGATTGTTACAGGTCCTCCCTCGTTAGTAGATAATCTCTGGGCCATCGAAAAAGTTATCTTATAACGAGACTTATCTTGTAGCAGGACTTGCAGCTAAAGGTGAAATAGGCACTACTTCGTACTTACCGGGGCTACCCTCGATACAACATAAATTATCGATGCTTCAACTTGTTATAAGATAATTGAAAATCTCCAAGTTACTCTAGCATAACTCTTCCTTGGATGCAAAGGACCGTCCATATTCACGAATACATAGACATAATACGTTTCCTCTTTCTGCTTTATCCTACGTGTTTTGGCCTTGGTCCTGCATGGTCAATATTATCTTATACTGAGGGTTTGGCACTCCAGGGACCTGGGCAAAGGGTCGTTATAACGGATGTTATGTACTAACGGATTATGTTGTAACCGGACCTGTAAACAGTTGTGTAGACGACGTTTCGCCAGAGAATTTCAGATTTCTATTTACTAACGGGGTTTATGTAGTACCGGACTCGTTATAATGAGGGAGGACCTATATGTAGAAAACCGTGTGTAAAATACAAGATGTACCTCAAAATGAAGGGTATTACTAGGCGGATTCAACCATGCAAACATATACACACTGTACCACCATCGACATCAGATGCAATCAATGCTGCAGTATATATGCACAATAGGACTAAACTGGCTAGCTACAGCTACAGCTTGATCGTACCGCGCACGTGAATCTACGCTATATCGAGAGTGCACACGTCGGGACCGCGCTGTAGCGTGCGTTTTGTTGAGGGTTACGTTATGTAGGACTAAACTGGCCTAAATTGGCTAGCCACAGCTACCGCTTGATCGTACTGCGTACGTGAATCTACGTTGTATCAAGAGTGCGCACATAGCGTGCGTTATGTCGAGGTTTACTTACACTGTAACATGATTTGTATGTTTGTGTTCTCTTTAAAATATAATAAAAAGTAGGATTACGTCGCGTGGAACAAAATTTGTATGGAAGTTATGCTGTTTCGGCGCGGGATTTGAGTTTTTTTAACGTACTAGTGAGGTTTACGTACGAGTGAGGTTTACGTACGAGTGAGAGTTGTTAAATTGAGATCAGGCCTGTCTATTGTCAAGTGGGATCATCTGGATGATCGCATCGTTATGCCTATAGCAAAGATATCGGTTGCTCCCAACATGCAGTATACTCGTCGCTGCCTACTTCAACGTCCAACAGTTGTGATTGTGTGAACGCGTAGATCTGCAATGGTTCATCATGGCACGGCGTGAGACGTATTGGAAATTCTTCCCTTCTGCCGTGTGATTTTCTTCTATGCGTGCCTAACCGTCTCT